AGACCGCATAGACCTCGTCGACTAGTCCCCGCTGCGAGCCACCTCAGTAGTGACTCAGTGCAGTGCAATGATACATAGCTCGGAAGCTAATGTTACAAACTCTATGAGACTTAGTTAATACCAACTGTCATCACAGTCTGTTCAACATTTATTTATTATTTTGACAAATAGTGGTTCACCCATATGATGAAACTTCAAGTTTCTTTAGTAAATATTATTTATAATGGTACCATGCCAGAATTGTTAACATTATTGTTAACTCTATGAATGTTTTATCATCACATATTTCCATATTGTAATTATAATTTAGTATATTCCTTGAACAGACTGTTTAGATATGTGAAATGGTAGGCATTTATTAACAGTTTTGTATTCGGCCGTTGAAAGAATTACATTATTCCATTGTAGATTAAAATATAGTTGATTTTGTATGTTGTGTGAGGTTATTGCTACTTTGAATTATTTATTACTTTTGTTATTCTTGATATAGTTTGTATTTTCATCATGTAGTCAAATCAACGAACATTTGAAGTTCAAAAAAAACAACACTTGCATTAATTAATATGACCAAATGTAACATTGCAAATTGATTTCCATAAACTTGTTTAAACTTAGAAAGGGCATGCATGTCCATGATGTAAATACAAAACTAAATAAACTATATCATCATTATTATAATCGAAAAATTGTACACTATCACTGTGAAATATCTCTTCAGTTTGGGAAGTTCCACTTTATTGTGAAATGATAAGGAATTTTTCTTGTAGCAATAGTAATGAGACGGACTGTATAGAGGTGTATATTGTAATTATAAGTAAATATGTTTTTTCTCGGCTCACTGTAAATATACTGAATAGGAAATGGAGCGATCAAAGATTGCTTGCGGTACTCGAGTACGCGATGGCGGGAAAACGACAAACTCTATATTCTATTGTCTATGATAGGGCTGTCAACTTCTCCGTGGAAACACTAGTGGTTTTGCTTTTCCTTTTTGTAAGGTGTGGTTGGCATTTTACACGATTTTAAATTACTTTTATCGACAGAAAGTTTTTACGGTCTTAAAAGTTGTTTATATTAAATTTATCCTAAACAAAATAACAAAGCAATGTCACACACATCTCACAAAAAACGGGTACATCTGTTTTTGAAAGTGATTAGTAATGTTTAAATTTTTATAATGACTTCATCGGTACAACTACACTATCGCAAAACACAAACGCATTCGTGCTTTCGCGATGTATTCCTGTTAATTATTTATTTCCGTTTCTGTAAGCGTTTTAAATATTAAATTAGCGACTGAGATTTCGAGCGAATTGATATAAATATTGAGAATTGTTTTGATGGTACGTCGATTTAAAAATTGTGGTATGTACATGTGATTGTTGAATGTACGTTTAGTATCTTTCTCAGAATGTCTAATAAAAAAATCATTTAGCACAGCCCTAGTATACAAAGTTTTATTCAAACTTCAAGTGGATGATTTAAAAAAATAACGCATAAAAGACAAGACAAATCTTTTATGATTTTACCCAATTTTAAAAGAAATTTTGACTACTCTGGTAAACAGAACGCAAAAAATTGTCACAAGTCAGTCGTTTTTGACTACTTAGTAATTTTAGTAAATTTATTTTGCATAATGTAAAATGACTGCATTACATATACATTTGTGTAGAAATTATACAATTCCAAAATATTGTTTTTTCTATTGAAAGATTGTTTGTTTTGTTACCTACAAAATTTATTGGTGTTTTGATAATAGCTTGAGAAATGTAATGCGTTTTCGTAAACTCATTTTGTTTAAATGTAACCAATTTTTCTTACAATGTATAAAATTGGAATTTCCTACCAATATTGTAAAGATATTGTGATAATTTTACAATCAATTGTCTATGGTCTAATTTTCAATAAAGTAACAAGACAATTATTATGATGCTTAAATCTTGCATGTTTTTAAACTTCCTGGATATTAAAAGTGAATTACGAATAGATTGACATTTTAAATTATTGTATTGTAAAGATTTTTTAGTTATTAACCAAATATAATTTTTTAAGATGGTTCGAAAATTCTTATTTTATATTTGCAGTATGTTATCAGAATATATTGCTTTATTGGTAGCTATTTTATTGATAAATAAATAATATTGGAAAATATCTCATCTTATAATGACTATTCATAATTCACTTTTAAAATTTTACTGTTTGTATGTTCTCTAAAGTTATTCATACATTGTTATGTATAATAAATTATATACCACGAAATTAAACGTATTTGTTTGTATTTTCGTTGTAGCGATATTAGTTCCATTTGTCGCTAGTTGTCGCCGTTTTGGCGAAGTTAATTTATTGTGAAATTCTTTGTTCAAATCTAGTGAGACACAAATTATGAGCCTATCAAGTTAATACTAATAGACGATTCTCTTTATAATGTTGCAGTTTTATTTAGTCCTTTAAAATATCTTTGGAAAAGGTAAAGTAATGGTTCTTAATTTTATTGACTTCTAGCTTTTGCCCGCGTGGAATAAAAAAAAAACAAAATCAAGTTGTCTAAGTTTTCTATCAAACTATGCTTTACGTCTGTAACAAATACCGAAATCCGTTCAGCAGTTCTGGCCATGAAAATTTTCGCATTTATAATAATAGTAAGATTTATATATATTATAATAGTAACATTTAATTACAAAATGGTGTTTTGTGACAAAACTGTTCGCCAAATTAAAAATTTTAACAGACCAAAATATTATTTTCAATTAAACTGTCTATCCTATAAAAAAATGATTGTGATTGTACAGGCGGTTGTAGAAATATGTTTGTATAATTGTTGTATAATTGCTTTGATATTCAAGTTTTCGAGCCACCTGATGATTTTATGACAAAAGTGTGCTCGCCAAAAAGGTGTAACAAAAACTATGGTTACAATACGAATAAAATTAATTAATTTTTCGAGGCTTTTCGAGACATTTTAAAAAATGTAAATTAATTAGGAACTTGCCAAGCAACTTTGGATAAAGGTAAATTGTGAGTGAAAGGTAAGTAACCCCGGTATCTGAAACTTCAGGTATTTTGTTCAGTTCAGAACAATATGGAGAAATAAAACACTAAAATTTGTATCTATAATTTATTATCTAATTGTAGATTTAGTTAAAATCCGGGGTCCCATTGCGTGTGGTCGTCGACATCCAGCATGTTGTAGCAGACGACGGTGTCCCCGGGCTGCACCTCCACCTCCGCCTCGAAGCGCAGGCCGCACTCCATGTCGCGTTTGATCGTCGTCACTTCATCTTTCAAATGCTTCATTGAAGCTAACTTCCCTGAAACGGTTATACTTTTTAATATTAATGTCGCAAGCACTATAAAATATTACTAGCCCATAGCCTGTGTTCTCTTAGAATGTAAATTTTGTGTCTTTCGGAGAGATTTGTTTATTCGTTCTTGGGATAGGTAATTGTAAAGATCTATTTATCGTATGTAACGAAAAGCGGGTGCGGGCAGACTAAACTATCGCAAAACGGTTACCATATAAGCTCGTAGGAATTAAAGCGCGACTAAACAGTAAAAGTCAAAAGTTTAAACATTGGCACCAACAAAAAATATTATAAATGCGAAAGTTTAGATGGATGTTTGTTAGAATTTGTAGCCTAAACTGCTGAACGATAGTCTGTAAGAACACATTATTTACTTTAAGTTTGTAAATAAGCAAGTTGTATCAAGAACATCAGAAAGTATCACAACGAGTGTATACCTTCATGTACGGTCTGTCCGTT